ATGAAATCAAAATTTTAAGATTGTAATCAAGGATTATAATCAAGATCAAAATGATGGATAGAGCATCATTTTTTATCATGAAATGTTAAAATAAATAATTAAACTTTTTCAAAATATTGATTAATGATTTAATTTTATTGAGAATTGCCTGAATTATAAATTTTAGAAATTCGATACCATTAACATTATCATTTAAAGTATAATACGTAGAAGATCTTGTATGATCAAATTTTATATCGATGAATGAATGTGTGTTTTATTGTTGTTGTATGTAAATGATTATATGTTTTATTTGATTTGCTTATCATAGAATATGTGCCATGGCGCGACAAATCCATTCTCTATGATTGGTCAGCATTTTTCGTTTGAATATAATTCATTATATAATTCATTAATAAGATTGAAATGAAAATTTTTGCGAAAGAAAACGTTGTAAAAATAAAAAATATATAAGTTTCATTTTATTTTCTTTTTTTTTTTTTTAGGTAATGAAAATATGAGCAATTTAACAAAAAAAAATTGTAAAAATGCAAAATAAACAGATTTCATTTTATTCTATTTTTTAGATGGCAAAAAATAGAAGAAGAAGTTGCCAATTATTCAGAATTTAACAGAAATGACTTTACTGTTATTGTTTCACCAGGCATTAGTAATTCTAAGATTCCGCTTACTAAGAATGGATTTATTGATTTATCTTATCTTTCTGCAGATTGTTTCCACATAAGTCAAAAAAGTAATGCATTAAGTAAGTAAAAAAAAAAATAAATAAATAAATAAAAATATGTCTTCATTATTTAAAATAGAAAAAATAAATTTAATATTTTTTATGTTATTATATATATATAATAATAATAAGACATATAATAATAATAAAACATATTATTCAAGGTGCAAATAGTTTATGGAATAATCTGTTACAACCAATTGGTAACAAGACTACTTTTTGGACTTCATTATTTAAATCATTTTTATGTCCTACTTCCAAAAGGCCATATTTGATTACACGTGAAAATTCATAAGAAAATAAAAAATTAAAAATATTTATGCAAATGTAATAGTTTACATATATATAAAATATTATGAAAATACTATAAATTTTTATGTATAATAAATATATAAGTATTATGTATAATAAATATATAAGTATTATATATAATAAATATATAATTTAATATTTATATATGAAATATATAATACATGAAATACAAATATACATAAAAAAAAAAATATTAGAAATAATTATGTATTATAATCAATTAGTAGTAAAACAATTTTTTGAATTCTAATATTTGAACTATTTCTGTTTTATTTCTGAAAGGCTATTTGATAACATATGAAAATTTATAAGAAAATTATAAAAAATTACAAATTACTTTGTTGTACATAATCCAACAATATTGTAAAAATAAAAGTTTTTTGCTGACATGTATTTTTTTACATTACTTATTATTACTTATCCAATATCTCTTTTTATTAAATTATAATTTCATCTAGTCTAGTTTCATATTAATAATTTCTGTCTACTATATTAAAATGTTCTATAGTTTTTCTGAAAATATTTTTCTAATCATTTTTGATTTCATAAATAGTTTTAATTGAAAATAGTTCATTATTATCTACTTTTTTTATTTTCATAAAATGCTCTCTCCCCTCTTGCCCAAAATAATTCAATAATATTGTAGCACATCTAATAATCCTTATATGAGTTCATTATTTAAAATATATAAAATTTTTATGAAAAACTATCATTAAATGTATCGAAATCGTAAAAATATTGAGAAAAAATTTTCAGTATATTTTCAAAAAAATGGACCAAATTGACTGATAACTGACTGATATACGAAAAATTGTATCTTGAAAATCGAAAATCTCGAGAATTCTCGAAATTTCGGAAATTATATTTTAAAATTAATTTTTTTTAATATAAATAGGATTTCGGATATTTTATTTTTGAGTGAGATTATTTATTTTTTATTTTTTCAATAATATAAATAAAAATAAGAAATAAAATGTAGAACAAATATAATACATACATCAAAATAATAATAATATATTATTTTAAATTATTATTTTATAAGTGTAATATATTATTTTAAACTGGCATATAAAAATATTTTTCTATATTTTCTGAGCAAATTTATTTTCAAATATTTTCAATATTTAAAAAAAATCGTTCATAGTTTGTTTGAATAGCAGTATATATTTGATAGCAATGTAATTAAATGCGTTAATATCGAGATTTATTATAATCTGACTTCCATTGATCTAAAATATTAATATTTTTTTAAAATTTTACAAGATTTTTTTCGAAATATGATTTTATTTCTATTTCTTTATATATAATAAATATATAATTTTATTAATAAAAAAATGTTTTCACATTTTTAAGATATATTTATAGACTATCAAAAAATGAAAATATCTATAAGCTATAAGAAATTTCTGAGATACAATATTTTCCTTTGCAAAAATTTTTCAACGGCTCTAAAGCTTTTTCCAATCCCTCCGTTATATTTGAGGAATTTTTTTTCAAACTTATATACATGTATATAGCGTTATAATCATTTATCATCCAATTTTTCAACAGATCAGCTTTCAATAAACCTCTAATAAACCTTGAGACGCCAAAGTTATATATAGTATATATATATATTAATCATTAAAAATGAATGCGAGTGGAGAATCGCTCGGCTCAGTTCCAATTACACCAATGCTATCTCGATCTCTTTCAAGCCCAAACATTTGTAGCGAAAATTTTGCATTCACATCAATTATTATATCAATTATTATAATCAATTTTTTTTTGATTCGTTCTATCTCTTGAATATACGATTGTATATTGAAACTAGCCAAATATACATGATGATCTCCACAGTAATTATGACTTAAATAGGCTAATTTCATAATCATAATCATTGAATTTCGTATTACAATGCCAGTCTGGATTCAGTTTCCCATTTTTTTAAAGATTTTTTCAATTCCATTTTCATATTAACAATTTTACACTTTTCAATCAATTTTAAATATCTTTTTTTCAATATCTTCGAATTTTTTCATTTTATGTTTATATATTTTATTATTTTTTTTCTTATTATAAAACAATAATAAAATTGATAACAATAATCAACAACAACATCCTTAATGCATCATAATATGATTTTTGCTTTTAGAAATACGTTCAAATGTTTGCATTTTCTGCAATTTTAAATACATATTCTTTTCAAAAAAATTATAAATTATAAATATTAATAAAGATTTTCTTCACTTTGCATAAAACTATTTTCTAATCCATGATCTTACAAAGGAAATAATTAAGGAAATAATGCGTGCTCATGTTGATTTTATATAATTTATTTATTGAATAAATATTTTACTATGATAATTTATTTGTTTTTTTTTTTATTCATGATTCCGATAAAAGTTTTGTAATCGCAGCATCATCATAAACTTTTCACTATCATATTCATTATCCTTTTTAAATATCCTGACAGTAAGAATTATATAAGCGCTTATAATCACTAATCAAAATATCTATTTAGATTGTTTCTATTTTGGCTTCTAAAATTCAGATTAAATATTATTGCTTTTTAAGTTAGATCAAGTTGAGAACTTCTAGTACAGAATCCTCAAAATGAGCACTGCTGAATGAATTCTTAATTCCACTTAGCATTCAAAGATGTCATAATCGACAAGTTTTTATTAACCGTAGGTATTTATTCTTATGCTACAATAAGCGATGAGAATAGACTTATCATTATATTTTCATATTTCACATTTTTAGATTTAGAATTGCATTATCATTTTAGTGTCATTTTCAATGTTACCAATTCAGTATAGAATAAGATTATAACGCTTGTAGTTGGAATTGAAATTAAATTTCAACTTTTGAATGTCTTATCAATCTCATTATTATTTTATTGTTATTCTCAATATTACCGATTTAGCAGTATATAAAACAAGATTACAACGTTTACCGTGATTAGAATTAAAATTAAATTTTAATTTAAAATTACAAAAATAAAGTATAAAAAATTCAAAGAGAATATTGTATAAATAAAAAAATCATAGAAAAATTATAGAATTTTACTTTGATAATATTTATATGTTTATTCTTAGACATATTATTATTAAAAGAGTGATTTTAGATAAAATATGTTATATTTAATTTATATAATTTTTATATATTATATTTAAAATATATTATATTTAATTTTTATTAATATAGACAATTTTTAATGTTTTAAATTATTAAACAAATAAATATTTTTTTATTCTTAAAATTATTCTTAGCTTAAAAATTTTTATTTCTTAAATAATTATATTTAAAATAGATGAGATAAAGATAAAATAAGATAAAAATTAATAGAAAAAATTTTTATTTTTCAAAAATTACAAATACACTTTTATCTTATAGTTTTTTTCTAATATATTATTAAAAATCCGAAAAAATTTAAATTAAAATAAATTAAAATTTATTTTTATTATTATTTATCTTAACTTCTTATTTCAAT